TCTTGTGTTGCAGGATGCAGGAGGCGAACTGCAGTTCTCTGCCCATTGGACTACAGAGATCACACTCAGCTAGGTTCTCATTATGCACCCTGCTGAGGCCAGGCTTGGGGACGAGCTGCCCAGGAGAGCATGTGACCTGCATAGCAGTGTCCTCCCCAGAACTGCTTTCCTGCCTTCTGGGCTGAGGGAGGAAAGTAGGGAAAGGCAAAGACAGTCCTCCCCCAGTGTTTCACCGGGTCCTTGGGGAATGCCTTTCAGTGCTGGCTTGAGTGTGGCTGAGGACAGTGGTCTGGGACACTGGAAACATCTATTGGGTTGTTGGAAAAGTCATGATGTATTTTTCTATGTTTTTCGTTGCAAAAATGTGTCATGACTTTTCCGACAACCCAATATTTCCTGAGTTAGCGCCTTCAGCTCCAGTGAGTATTGGGTTTGTCCCTCGTCCTTGTCACAGTTGAGATGGGCTCCTCCTGAGAGACCACAGACTTCCTTTCTCCACACAGAACAAGCCCAAATGTGAGACTAAACACTGCATTGTCCTTGGAGAATAAGTCAGTAAAAAGGTCATGCCCTGAGTGGGGACATGCCCTCACATCTATGGGGCTTCCATCTGGCCCATAGCCCCTTCTGCCCCGTCCCTCCCACGCTGGCCCAAGCCTCTGATCATTCTTTTACCTGAAGGTCTGGACCCTTCTCAGTTCTGGTCCTTTGAGAAGGGCTCCCCTCAGATCTGGGAATCTTTCCAATAGTTTCTGGCATTTCCCCGTGGCTTCTGAAGGCCCAGAGAAAGCACTTGCCGCCCTGCAAGAAGACAGAAGAGACAGCACCCCACTGGAGAGACAGAAGCTGCCCCACAACAGGCAGGGCAGATGGTCACCTGGCTTCTGTCATCTGTTTGCCGACCAGCTTTGAAAGGTCCCACTGCCCAGGACCAGAGATACTGGTATGTGATGTAAACACTGGATTTCATGGGTCTTTGCTTTCAGACAGCCAGGATCAGTATGACTAGAATGCAGCATGTCACCTCAAGTGTGCCTTCCCAGCCCCAGCTCCAGCAGACTCACGATTTCTGTCGTCCTGAGTGTTTAATGAGGGGCAAGTGACCTGTCTTCTCAGAGCCTGGGCTGTGGAATTAGGCAGACTAAGCTCTCTTACATCTTAGTTGTGGGACCTAGATCTAATTTCTAAATTCTCCCAACCTGTTTTCTCATCCATGAAATGAGGATTGAAACAGAGCCGACCAAATAGGGTTGTTCCAAGAATTTAAAGTCATTCGATGAACCATGAATAGCAAGGTGCCTGGACCATGGAGAAAATATCAATACATTGTTGTGATTGTAGTTCTTCTTCTTTCTGTCTGTCCTACACTCTCCCCTGGGGCACTGTGCTCCCAGCAATTCCTGGGTGGGACACATCCTGGCACTGGCTGTGCCAATGGAGGGACAGTGGAAGAGGGCTGACAGGTGCAGGCAGGAAGCACCCAGGAGCCCAGCACCATGAAGGCCGCTGGAACGAGGCTGTCACAAAGCCACAGGGCGTGTGACTGGCACTGGAGGAAAGTCTTGCAACCAACGGGCAGGACCAGCCACACCAGCAGCCAGGGGCTTTCCTAGGGCATGGTGCCTGGCAGCACACTTGGGCCAGCCTTGCCCAGAGGTGGGGCCCTGCTCAGGAACCCTCCCCATTGGGCCTAAGACGGAGCAGGCGGCCCGCCCCCTAGCTGGACAGAAGCCGTAGTCTGAGTGTGGGCCAATGCAGTCATGGGTGGTGGCTGCGATGTGTCAACTATGGGAATGCAGTAGCCACTGCATTGAGTGAGCTGCCATATAATCAATCATCTGTGGTCGGTAATCACACCTGGACATGAAACCAGAGGATACATTTTCCTGCCTCCCGTGCAAGAAACACACGCCTCTAGCTGGACCCCTCCTGACCTGGGCTTGGGGGACTCTGCCTGGAACACTGGCTCTTGGGCATCCCCCCTCATCCCTGGGCTCCTCAGCCCCTCAGTGCACAAGGCCTTCCCCTTGGGGCTGCAGCACATGTGCTAGTGTCCCTGCCACAACGCTGGAAGCTCCTGAGCGCAAGGCCCTGTCTGACTGGCACAGTCCTCCGTGGCTCCGGCCTAGTGCTGTGCATACACCAAGGATGGGAGGGCTGTTCCCTCCAAGCACACACACAACACATACAACCACAAAACACACAGCACACAATAATATTAATATGTAACCACAAATACAACACACAAACATACACATAAAAACACATACTCTGAGAAAACATACATGCGCACAAAGTATACACACACAGGTGTATATACACCCCATACACACAGAAAACAAATGTACCAAACACTCACATTTGGGAAAATACAGCCTCTTAAGAAGTCTGCACGGTGGTTGCCTCAGTAATGAGGGCTTAGATAAGTGAAAAAATTATCTAATGAGTTAGATTCCTTAAAAATCACTGTAAGATGCAAATTTTAAAAGAGTACATAAAATAAGATATGTATATGCCTCAACCCAGCAATCACATCCTAGGACTTTATCGCAGGGACGTAATCAATGAAACATGCAAAGGTTCATGTCCAAGCATGTTTAGCATAATGCTGTAGGTAATAGCGGGAAAACGAAAACCAAAATGTCCAACACTGGGGATTAGGTTGATAAGGTCTGAGCACGTGTGACTCACAGGTGAGCTGGCCCTTGTTCTCCTCCTCACCTCCCACAAATAGAAACACAAATGCTAAGGGTTGTCAAATATATTGAGGTTGTGGGGGGACATCGGTGAGTTTGCAATGACGACTCCACACCCACTACTCCACACCCTTGTCAGATGACTCCTCTTGGTTCCATCCCTGTCAGGAGCCTTGGGTGGGGTCTCTGTCGCAGCCACCCCACAGGGCACCACCCTTGTCCTCTCTTGACCAGTGAGGACAGAAGTGCCTGCAGGTACCCAGCCCGCCTGCCTGGGAGGCAGGTTAGTGACCATTTGTCTTTATTTTTACATTATCTTTCCCTTCACCACCTCCCCCTCCCAAAGGGTTATGGAGAAGTTCTCCAAAGATCTCTCCTTGTTAGGAATTCAACAGACAATTTAGGGATTTTTATCCTAGCTGGCAAAGAGATAACACTTCCCCAGGTCTTCAGGCAAATAATGAAATACCTAGCAGCAACTAAACATGAAGTACAAACGTACTGATGAAGTATGATATTGAGCAGAAGCAGCAGGAGCACTGTTAGCGGGACAGGCATGTAGTGACACAGTGTGCCGACCGCACTCCTGCACACATGTGTGTGCAACACGCTTGCAGGATGAGCTGCCATGTGCTCAGAGAGGCCCGCGTGACAGTCCTGTGCTGCTGGGACTAGCTTTGAGACCAGGGCTGGATTGCCAAACCCCTAAACCTGCTGTGTCTTTTGCCTGGAAAGCAGTGAGGACAGTGCTTCCCAGCTGGGTGTCAGAGGACTGGGTAGCTAGAGACAGAAAGCCAGGGACTCAGCCCAGGCCTGGCAGGAGACAGCACGTGGCCAAGGACTGTGGCTGCTGCTGCTGGTGGCCCAGAGCTATGATCTTACTTGGTCATGTGGACTTTCCTCCAAATGACCAGCTGTTTTGGGCATTGTGAGACACAGCCGTACTTATGAGCAGATGAGAGCAAATGCACTGCAAGCTGCAAGGGAGCGCCAGTGGAAAGCCATCCCATGGGCCTGGTCAAGGAAGGTCCCTGGGGTGCTGTGCATGTCCCATTGAAGAAGCGAAAGGAGGTGTCAGTGGCGTCCCAGAGTGCACCAGGAGGGGAGATTACAGGTGGATATTTTTCTCTAGGATGTGGAGACTGCACCTGCCTGAACTCTGGGACTGGGGCAAAGAGCCCACATGAGGACAGGGACCCTGTGTCTCCTTGTCCTTCCCTCATGTCTCTTCTCCACACCTTTGCTGTCTGGGTGGACAGGCAGCCACACCGTCTGTCATGAGCACCTTGAAATGTGTTGCACGGATGAGGCACAACCTCTCCAACAGGAATTTGTGCCCATGGTATGGCAATGGCATGTCATTATTGGCTAAAGGAAGGCAGCTGTGGCATGTGCCTATGTACGCCCACACCAACTATTCAAAACGTGCATGAGACTGGCTCCTCAGGTCAAAGATCTTGAGAGCAGGAGACCAGCTGAGCTCCAGCACCCGAGAGAGAGCCACAGTGCGTGGGGACCCTGGCCCAGGTAGGTGATCTTTGCCCCCAGCTCAAGAGACCAGCAGACACAAGGGGATGCAGAGCAGCCCCAGGCCACCCTGCTGTCCCCACTAGAAGCCCCACCATGGACTGTCTGTTAGTTGTGACACCCACCCAGACACGGCTGAGCCCAGCAGCCAGCTGCTGTCCCCTAGCACGGTTCTGCCAACCAGCAGGGCCTAGCCACAGGGCCAGGTGCACACTGAGCTCAGGGAGCCTGCAAACCCTGGGACTACTAGCGTGTCCTCTGAAGGCTGAGCAGGGTGACTTCAGAGTCTGGAAAATACTGGTCTTCAGGAAGAGACCTTGGTTTCTTAGGTGGGAAGAGATGGCCCTCATACGACCACATGCCCTGCCCGCCTAGGGCCCTGATGGAGGCCTCCTGCATTTGTCTTGATTTAGGCAACCTCCTGAGCAGTTCATGGGAACAACCGCGGGTACTCCAGCAGCACCTCCAGTATCCTCACGTATTTGGGCACCTACGTTTCTGCCAGACACCTCTGTTCTGAGGTCCCCTGGCTGCCACATTCTGTGCTTTCTCTGTATTCCCTGATTTACCCCAAACTGCAAAGGCAGTGTTGCTTTGTGGGTTCAGGGGATGCAGCCAAATAAGAAACAACATAAAGTCAAATCGTGGATATCGTGCCCTTAGAGGGCCATCAGAGGGTGGTGGGGATGCATAGGGTGTCCAACTAGACCTCCTGGGGTCAGAGGGTGCCGTGGCCAGTGTCCTTGCTGTCCACTCAGGTTCTGCCTGTCATCCCAGGCTTCATCGCACTAAAAATGTCCTTTCTGGAGGAGAACACGGGTGTGGAGATGGACTCTGCAGGCCAGGAGAGAGCTGAGTCCCAGTGGAGCTCAGAAGGTGAGGTTCTCGTGAAAATGCACCTGGGGCCTTGGGGAACTTGTGAAGCAGGACCCTGTTGGGTGCCTCCCGGGGACCTGGCAAGCAGACTGAGACACGAGAGCTGGTAGTGAATTAGATGAGAGATGTTTGAGGGTGTCACAGGAACCTAGGGGCAGCAGGCAGCAGGTGAATGGATCAGCTTTGCCCAGAAGCTGGGGGCTGAAGTCCTGCCTCACCAGGGATGGTTCTGAGTCTCACAGATACAGGTCTGTCCCCTGGCCGGCCGGCAGAGCTGGGGCCTGCAGGGAGCTGAGTCAGGGCTATGTTCCTTGGAGAAAGGCACTTGGCTCAAGGAGGACAATAATAAGAGGAGGATTGACCCACTTGACTGCCTAATGCAATGTGAGGGGAGAGGCCTGGAACACGCCAGAAGCCACATCACGTGGCCATCAGAGTTAGACTAAAGTCAGGACAGTGTGGACCCCCCAACAGCAACAGCAGAGATGCCTGGGAGCAGCCCTGCTCCTGGGACAGGAACTACGTGTGGCCACTGTCCCTGAGGCAGGAGGAAGTGGACACTGGGCGGGCACAGTAGCAAGATGATGTCATTGCCCAGTGCCTGGGAACTTGGACTGGTGACACTGGATATGTGGGAGGGGTGGCCTCCTCCTGTTCCCACAGGGTCCCCCAGTCTCCCCACCGGCCCCTTGCCTCTCGGGAGCAGGACTGTCAGAGCTGGGGGACACATGGGAGGAGGGGGCTCAAATGGTGTGGGTGGGCTGTGTGATACTGACGCCCTGTGGTCACAGAGCCCTGCCTGCCGGGACCCGCACTGGGAGCCCACGTCGGGCTCCTCAGCCGCAGGCTGCATGCACTCTGTGCACTTTGGGTCCCTCCAGCATTTCTCCAACTTGCTATCTTGGCAGGCACCCGGTTGTTGTCACAGTTGTGGGCCATGTGACTCTACCCAAGTTGACACATATGTTTGTAGGAAGTTCTGCACTCAAAGTCGAGTCCCTCATTTTTCCTCTGTTCCCCATCACATTCAACCAGAAAAGTTACTGTTAATGTCTATATGCTTTGGTGTTTGTGAAAATGCACAAAAAAGAAGTGAGGCATTAAATGGCCCCTGGGCCCCTGAGTCCTTGGGACCCCCACTGCACGTACCAACCTCACTGTTTCTGATTCCAGATCCAACCAGAGGCTACCTGGAACCAAGCCCAAGCATCACCTCCCTCAGCTCTGCAAATGCAGGTACGGCACCTGGGTTGTGCCCTTGGAGACTCTCAGATGCTGGGGTGGGACTGAGTCTTCTTGTAGAAGCAAATCTCAGGGGCTGATGAGAAAGATGGGTCGCAACCTCTGCACAGAGAGAAGGTCACTCAGACCTGCCAAGGGGCTCGGGGGAAGAAAAGGTTTGAACCTGGGAACCTTCCAGCTGCTTCTTCTGACCACTGCTGGCAACTCAACCCTCCCCACAGTGTTTGTGACGACCAGGAATTTGGCAGCAAGGTGCATGGGGACCCACACCACTGAGTGTCACGGGCACACTGAATCAAGACCCATCCCAGGTCGCACGTGACCCTCACAGTAACCCCAGGAGGGAACATTAATCACCACTTTCCCGGTTAAAAAACTGAGGAAGAGGGGGTGACCACCAGCCCCAGGTGCACAGGTAGCAATGACAGATTCTGGAGCACGAGGCACTTTGACTTCCGTCTGCCCAGGTCAGATGAAGGCTGCCATCACCATGCCTGGCACAGGGCACAGTCAGGAGGCCTGAGTCCCAGCAGCACCACCGGCTATGTGTGAGCCCAGGGCCTTGCTCTGCTCACTGGGAGGAGACACGCTGCTCATGGTGCCGGGCAGGCTCCCCATCCCTGGGACGTGTCTGCCATGCTTTGCGTGTGCCCCACCTGGTGGCACCACCACACAGCCTGTCTGTTGTGATGCACAGAAAAGTGAGGACCACTGCCCCATGGGAGAGACTACCAGTACCTTCAAACCACTGACACTTCTCCCGAGGCCTCGAGAGGTCATTTGAAGATTGAATAATGCCAGGAATAATGCGAGAGAAGTTAGTTAAGAGGACATGCACATGCCTGAGTGGGAGAGGATGGGGGCCGAGTCAGGGGTGACAGGAGCGAAGCAAAAGTAAAGGACAGATTTAGGAAATATTTAGGAATAAAAAGCACAATGCTAATGCTAGAAATGCAACTTATATGGCAGGTCTAGTGTCACCTGGACCAATTGAATTGGAATTGCAGGGGTGTGGGACCCAGGCACCTGTGGTCTTGACCTCACCTACCAGGTGGTCTAGTGTGCAGCCAAGGCCGGGGACCATGGCCACAGGCCATGCCACTCGGAGTGGCCCTGATACCAGCAGCATCACCAGCACTAGGGATGATCAGAAAGGCAGAGTCAGGGATGTGGTCAGCGTTTCAAAAGGTGGACCGCTCGGCATCAATCTGGTGTCATGTTCAGAATCAGCCTGCATGGGTCCCATGAGCTCAGAATATCTGGGGCGGGGCCCAGAAAAGCCCCCAAGAGATTCTAGTGTGAGCCAGGGCTGGGACCCATGATTTCACCTGGCCCCATGTCACTGTACTTACTTAGGATCTCACCCAGGCCACTCATCCCATCCATAAATACCGACTATTGGTGATATTTGAGCACTAGTCCTGGGCCAAGCAGAACAGTGAAAGTCAGACAGGGGCCCTACGCTCAGGAGCTCCCAGCACTTTGGGGCACAAGGCAGGGACACTAGCACATGTGCTGCAGCCCTGAGGGGAAGGCCTCATGCATCGAGGGGCTGAGGGGATGAGGGGGACGGCCGAGAACCAGTGTTCCAGGCAGAGTCCCCCGAGCCCAGGTCAGGAGGGGTCCAGCTAGAGGCGTGTATTTCCTGCACGGGAGGTAGAAAAATGTGGCCTCTGGTTTCACGTCCAGGTGTGATTACCGACCACAGATGATTGATTATATGGCAGCTCACTCAATGCAGTGGCTACTGCATTCCCATAGTTGACACATCGCAGCCACCACCCATGACTGCATTGGCCCACACTCAGACTACGGCTTCTGTCCAGCTAGGGGGCGGGCCGCCTGCTCCGTCTTAGGCCCAATGGGGAGGGTTCCTGAGCAGGGCCCCACCTCTGGGCAAGGCTGGCCCAAGTGTGCTGCCAGGCACCATGCCCTAGGAAAGCCCCTGGCTGCTGGTGTGGCTGGTCCTGCCCGTTGGTTGCAAGACTTTCCTCCAGTGCCAGTCACACGCCCTGTGGCTTTGTGACAGCCTCGTTCCAGCGGCCTTCATGGTGCTGGGCTCCTGGGTGCTTCCTGCCTGCACCTGTCAGCCCTCTTCCACTGTCCCTCCATTGGCACAGCCAGTGCCAGGATGTGTCCCACCCCAGGCATTGCTGGGAGCACAGTGTCCCAGGGGAGAGTGTAGGACAGAACGGAAGAAGAATGGTTAACATGTACAGAGACGGAGCTCTTTTCAAAATCAGACATCTGCTAAGTGCCATTCATCTGTACAAGCGTTTTAATTAACATCTCTCTGAGGCAGCTGCTGTTATTACCCCTATTTCTCAGGGAGGACATTGAGATTTTGAGAGGTTAGTGACTCCTGTGTCCTACAGCGGCAGAGTTTGGATTTGCACCCATGTGTCAAAATCTGGCCTGGAGCAAGGCTGGAAGCCTGGGGTGGCAGAAGCCTCTAGTGGGCTGCTGTCCAGGGCAGGAAGGGCCGAGCTGTCCATTCTCAGTGTGAAGCTGGTATCTGGTTACGCTCTAGATCTAAAAGTTGTCACCAAAGTCCCAGAGAAGTTCAACATCTACGACCAGGACCACAAAGTGTTGATGCTGGACTACGGGACCCTCAAGGCTGTGCCAGACAAGACCTGCATATTCCCAGGTGACTCTGTCAGCTATTTTCTGTACCCAGGGGACGGTCTTCCTCCGGGTCCAGCAGAGCCCCAGGGACTGCTAGGAATGGAATGGCGGGTCTGTGGCCATGACCATATCCGAGGGAGGTCTTTGTGGACTGTGGGGCTTGGACTCTAAGCCCTGTCAGATGGCAGGCCCACTCTGAGGACAAACCCGCTCTTCTCTCTGTTCCCAGAGACCTTCTTTGTCTTGGCCTCTCGCTTGTGCTCAGCCTGTGAGAAGGAAAATCCGATTCTCTTGGCGGTCTCTAATGGAGAGCTTTGTCTCTGCTGTGAAAAGGACAAGACGAAAGATCACCCCTCCCTTCAGCTGAAGGTGAGCATTCCAGCCCAATTTCCTGTCCCCTCAGCCACCCCGAAGGGGAACACCAAGACCCGCAGTATCTCTCAGTCTGCACAAATTCTCACCTCGGCTGGTCCAAAGGAGCACCGCTTCCGGGAAGGGGGATAGAAAGGCTTCCTGTTCCCCGACAGGCTCTCCAAAAACCTGCAGCTGGGCCAGCTACCCCTCCCCCACCCCAGGGGAAACTCTAGCTAATTACCCCTTTCCCTCCTAGATGCAGAATTTGGAACTCGTAGCTGCCCAGCAGGAAGCAGAGCAACTGCCCTTCACCTTCTACAGGGAGCCGGTGGGCTCCCGCAACATACTGGAGTCAGCTGCTCACACTGGTTGGTTCCTTGGCACGTCCTTCAACCCTGGGGAACCTGTGGAGATGACGGATAGTCTTGGGGGCAACAAATGCACCCAGTTTTCATTTGAGCACGTTTGTGAAGCTGCAGTGAGCCCAAGCAAGGCTAGTGGGTAGGAGGCCTTCCCTCTTTCTGTGATGAAATAAAGTTTTGGCCACAGTGCTCCCCCAGTGTCAGTCTCTGCAGTGCACCCGGTACACAGTCAGGCCAGGTGGATTTAGCCATTGCCTTGGGGAGGGGCCGTGGGCTCTGGGATGTGTTCCTGCTAGGGTTTGCCAGGGGCCGGAGACTGACCCCGGGGCAGAAGCACACGGAAGTGGCTTAGTCTGTGTCTAGGGCCCGTGTGACCAGAAGAAAAGCGACAGCAATCACCACCATCCAAGTGATAAATGGAAAAGGTTGGGGTGGGTCCGGACAAGGAGCAGGGTGACCCAAAACGTGGGAGAGGCACAGAGACAATGAATGTCCTTGCATCAAGTGACAGCCAGGAGATCCGGAGAGCAGCCAGTTGGCATCTGGGAGGCCTGTCACAAAGGCAAGGTCCCCTTGCTAAGCTGGCTCAGGTGCCCATGAATGGTGATGGGCGCACCTGGGAGCAGAATGGGAAGGGCCGGGGAATTGTCACTGGCTATGCTCTGCAGGCACAAGCAGCTCACAGGGCACTCTTGCCCCTATGGCCACTGTAGCAGATGACCGCAAACCCTGGTTTATAACGGTGTGATTTGTCATCTCACCTTTCTGGAGGTCGGCTCAAAATGTGTCTCCCAGGGCTAAAGTGAAGGTGTCAGCAGGACTGGTTCCTGTGGAGGCTGCAGCGGAGAAGCAATCTCCTGCTTCGTCCTTCAAAGCCAGCGACTGCTGGTCAGCAGACATAAATGTGACACTGTGATAGGTCACCTTGTGGGTTAGCAGTCATACTGTAATCACATGCCCACGTAGACACAGATGCATGAAGTCTTGTTTCCTACTCTACTCTACAGGCATGATGCCTTTAGCTGGGGCCTGTGCTTCGTACCCTCTTCCCTGTGACCTCCTGCCTGAAGCATGCCCTCAATCCCTTACTGGGTGCGACATTTTCTAGAATATCTTATTTCTGTATACTCATTGAATATTTTGCCCCCAGTAGCATGTCTTGTAGAATTTCTCTTAGGAAAACCCAACTATTGTGTTAACGATGCCCAGTTACTTACATATGTTTATCAACCTGCAATGAAAACTTTAACTTAATAATCTATCAGCAGTTACTATTTAAAAGTGGAAACTTTTTTTTTTTTTTTTGCTCCATTGGTCTCAAACAGGCAAACAGCTTTCCCACATGCTGGTTAAGGAGGTGATTCCCCTCACCCACCCTTCTGTGAGGCATTTTGCCTTTTAAAAGTTAATTGCATCACTGTGTGACTTGCTCCAGCTGACACTGTTGCAACCAGACTCATGAAATACAGTGTTTCTTGTTTCACATTTATAGACACTTAGAGAATTCTGTTCATCTCACCAGGTGTTTCCCTAGTTTGTTTCCTGCTCTCCTGCCCTTTGATAAATTTTCGACACAAACAAGATATTCAAACTAAGGACGAGACTTGTTTGGAGCATGAATCTAAATATGAAATAATTATTGTTTTGTTTGTTAGGAAACAAGACAATAGGCCCAAAATGAAGTTGCTCATGTTAAGATACGCTCCCCCTCTACCGTCACCACCAAGCTGAGACTGAACTTAATCCCAGTGTCAGCTTTCTCTCCCAGAAATGGAATCTTAAACTGTCAACCAAGAATGTCCTCATCAGCACTAGGTAATCTGCCTGATGGACTCCTGCTGTCCCTTGAAGGAAAGGGACCTTACCGTGACCTTTACCTCCTGTGACTTGTCTCATTCCCTCTACCTGTAAAAGTCTCATGTCGCCCAGGTCCTCGGAGCTCCTTCCTGTCTAGGTGGGAGGCTGCAATTTGAATGCATTTCTGCTCAAATAAACTTACAAAAAATTTTAGTATGCCTCAGTTTATCTTTTAACACATTACAGAGTTGATGACAAAGTCCCCCCCACAACTGTGTATGATTGTGAATCTGATAACTTTCTAGTTTTAATTAAACTGTTATGCACTCTGCTGCCCAGAAAAAATACATGAAAATTAAATGTTTCATTTTAAGGAGACCATAGGCCTTTATGGCTTTACAGTCAAATTCCTGTAATTTTCTGTTATCTACATTTTAGAGAACATTTCAAAATAAGTTTCATTGAAAAGTTCAAAAAAGGGACTGCCGAGTGGCTCAGTTGGTTAAGAGCTCGCTCAAGAGTTTGAGCTCTGAGCAATAGCCGTTGGAGTCCCGGCCCGAGCTGAGCAGCCGCTGAGCTGCCAACAGGTGGCAGGATGGCTCAGCTAAAAGAAAAAAAAAAGTTCAAAAAAATTAAGCATCTTATGTATTCACATACTACATGCTTTCATGTATTTAATACCTAAAAATCTGAATGTTGCAAAATAAATGTGTCAGTCATATAAAAACAAGCTATTAAAAAAAGTGATTTCCTGGAGGTACAAAGACCAAACGTCACTTTAATTAATTAACTAAATTTAATTTTGTTAAACTATTTTTCTAATTGATTTCACTCTGAAATGCCTTCAGCAATCAGATTTGCGTAGGTTAATATTAAACGTCAATAATAAATGTACGTGTGTGTGCGCGCACTGGAATGCAAGGTAAAATGTGTTTCAAACAGTGAATTGCCCTTAAAAAAAAGTTAGAAAAGCACAGTTCCATGGTTGTGACAGGTCCTGCCTGCAGGTCCAGGGTGAGCTCAGCTTCAGCAGCCCTGCCCAGGTGTGGCCTCCAGAGGCCATTCGCTGTCACTTGCTGTCACGGCGCCCTCTGCTGGTTGCAGAAGGCACAGCGCTGACGGTAGCACCGTCGGGCCAGGGGCAGGTCGGGGAGGTGACAGCCTGGCAGCCCTAGCATCTCTGTAGCAGGACCCGGGAGGGGCAGTAGCTGAGGATGACTTTTTATGGGTTTGCGATGAGCCAAATGTTTGCATTCGCGAAGCTAAGGTGAACCAGGAGGAGTAGCATCAGCTCAGGGCCTGCATTGTAGGGGGCGGTTCTTGGCCAAAGGAAGCGGGCAGCCTGGAGCAGGGCGGGCAGTGATGGGCTGGCCAGGACCTCTGTGCACCTCTGAGCCCCCACCTGCCCTATACCTGTGAGACTGGGCAGCCTCTGTGGTCTCTAGTCCTGTCTCCTGGTTGTTCTCAGGCCATGGGAGATGGGTGGGGAGGAGAGATGTGGCTAGAGGGGACCTCTCTCCAGGTGACAGTGGCTGCAATTCCTATGTAGAAGGCCACAGCCCCAGCCCTTGCCTACACCAGTCACCAGCCAACGCTGCCCTTCTCTGGAGGAGGTGACAGACTCCAGCTGCCATAGACTGAGGACCTGCCTGCACTCTTGTGAACGCTCCCCTGCTTTCACCTCCCAGTGAGCCTCTGTCCTGGCCAGGACATGGCAAAGCCTTGAACCCTCTTATCTGGGCTATAGGGAGCCTCTGAAGGTTTTGAGGACAGTGGCAAGAGCAGATGTGTGTTCTGGACAGATCTGCCTAACTGGGGTGAGCATGATGACCTGAATCATTAACAGACCGCAGTGGGAGTCCAGGTGACACACAGTGGCCTGAGCCCCACAGACTGGGTCAGGGGTGACGGAGAGAAGTTGAGTCATCAGATGAGCATGCCAACAGCACGTACCACTTGGTAATTAACTTTAAAGAGCTGGACATTTAATGTTTTGGTTTGGGGGGTTGCAAAAATGAGTATCAACAGTGTCACAGCAAAAGGTTGTACTTTGCACTGTCCCTCAGCTGCTGCCCCTCATCACATGTGGTGCTCCCGGCACCACAGCTCAGCCTTAGACTAATTTCCAATGGAAATATAATGCCAAGCACAAATGTGAACCATGTAGGGAATTTAAAATTTTCCACTAGCCATAATAACAGAAGTAAAAAGAAATAGATGAAACTCAAAATCTGAAAAGCACATGAGAAGATGCTCTACATCATGTGTCATTAGGGAAATGCAAATTTAAAAACAAGCAGGCACCACTGTGTACCTACCTGTTAGAGTGGCCCAAATCTGGACGGTGACGGCGCCAAGTGTTGATGGGATGTGGAGCAGCAGGGATGCTCATGGCTGGTGGGGATGCAGATGGTGCAGTCCCTTTGCAGACAGTCTGATAATTCTTGTTTTTTTTAAAGCTGAACACGGCCTTACCATCTGTCCCAGCAATGGCCCTCCACACAAAAACCCAAAGGTGAATGTTTACAGCAGCTTGATTAATTGCTGACACAACCAGCCTTTGCTGATCCACACCCTCCACGGTGGAGATTTGAACATCTTATTCCTCTTCACCTTTCTCCCCCGCCCCCTTTTAATTTTTCAATTACAGTTGCTATTCAGTATTACTTTATATTAATTTCAGGTGTACAGTGTGGTGGTTAGACATTTATATGATTTAAGAAATGATCCCCCAGACTAGTCTAGTACTCACCTGACACCATGCATGTTATTACCATATTGTTGACTATATTCCCTATGCTTCATTTTATGTCCCATTGACTATTTTGCAACCACCAATTTGTACTTCTTAATCCCTTCACATTTTTTACTCACCCCCAATGCACCTCCCATCTGGCAATCATCAATATGTTCTCTATATCTATGAGTTTTTTTTCTGTTTTGTTTATTTTGTTCTTCAGATTCCACATATAAGCAAAATTACATTGCATTTGTCTTTCTCTGTCTTATATACTCCACACAGCACAATACCCTCCAAGTCCATCCATGCCGCTGCAGATGGCAAGGAGCCATTTGCTTCTATGGCCTACCAATATTCCACTTCCTCTTTATTCATTCTCCCATCTACGGACACCCAGGCTGCCTCCACAGCTTGACCATTATAAACAATGCTGCAGTGAACATATGGATGCACAATTCCCCTCAAAGTAGCATTTGGATTTCTTCAGATAAATGCCCAGGAGTGGGATTACAGGGTCCTTCATTGTCTCTTGTTATAAACTTTGTTTTAAAGTCTACTTTGTTTGGCATAAGTATTCCTACCCCAGCTTTTTGTTGTTGTTGTTGTTTTCCATTTCCATTTTCATGACATATCTTTTT